TGTGGAGACCCCGCCTCCCCACCCTCTTCTCTCAGCTCCCCGGAGATTGGCGCTCTGTGGAGACCCCGCCTCCCCACCCTCTTCTCTCAGCTCCCGAGAGACCGAACTACTGTTTGGCTCCGTTCACGGGGTGGTGTCAGCAGGATTGAAATACGTTCGCGAGGCTCTAAAATACAGTTTCTGTATTTTAATGTGGCTTGAATTCAAAATAATAAAAATGTTCCAAACTCGTTGAGATTCAGTCTGGACTGGAACTTGGTCTCTGAGTGAGAGTGGGAAAGGTGAGCTCTGAGGGGAGTGTTTGCTGGCTTTTGAGGGTTTTACTAAAGTTAGGCTTCGTAGAGACTTGACTTCGGTTTTCTGCTGCTTCACAGGTGTCGGCACCAGGAATTATTACAGAAAGATTGGCTACAGATTACAAGGGCCGTACATGGTAAAGACACTGAAGTGATGGCCACACCAGCCCACCTTGATGCAGTATCCTCCCTGGCAGAAAATAAAAATTCAAGATATTTTGAATACTCGGGAGAGAGGCTGAGCTAAGCAAATTGACCCACCCTGGCTCCCTGGCAAGGAGCTTCACCCTCATCCTGCAGCTGCGGAGACTGGAAACTACTTTCGGGGCCAGGCCGGACGTCTGCTGACCAAGTCCACCGAGCTTCTGATGCTCAGAGCTCCCGCTCGCCCTCTCCTGTGTGTTCTCAAGTCACGTGTCCAGTTTCTGAAGTCTGCATGGAGCCTGCAATTGACCTACTTTGACTCACGCACAGTGACGAAAGCAAATTAACTCATTTGGACACATTATTCATGAAATAAAACTAGCTACTGTCATGTGAGGAATAAACTTAGGAGTAGGTTATTTATATACTGTAGGGACAAAAAGGTTGGAACATAGGAAAACTGTTAGACTTTGATCTCTGGCCTTTTATATACATTCTGGCACAAGAAAATGAACTTTTGTTTTAATGGAAATCACTCTGTTTCCTGTGCTGATGTTTGAAATAACAGTGTGATGGGGAGAGAGGAACCGAAGTTGTCGGTTGGTGTTTCAAGCTTAAAACCGCCTTTCTCACTTGGGAGTCTGCCATCTACAATGGGCTGTTACAAACACCCTTTATTTCACATTTTTTGTCTGTATTCCCTACACTCTTGACCCCTACAAAGCAGCGAGGGCAGCACTTCTACCCAGAGAGGTGTCTGGCTTCCCCTCTTGTCTGTCCTGAGCGGGCAGAGTCTGACATTCCCCCGTCCGGGCGTGCGTAGCCCTGAGTCCAGATGCCCTTCCACAGAAGCCTGTTCCTGCCTTGTAATTCTTTAAGATGGGCTTTGGTTTGCTTTAAATGAAGAAAGGTAAGAGTTCAACTCCTCTGAAAACAAAAAAGTGGGAAACAAGCCCAAATCGGAAAAATAGGAAAAAGATTGGCTTTTTCAAAGGTTCATATTCTCGAAGTGCCTCTTTGTAACTTCCAGGTAATCTGCAAAGGAGACTCCACCTGGAGAGGGCCAATTCTTAACAGCATGGCTTAACCCCATGCCCCCTGGCTTCTGGGGCATTTTACAAAGGTTTAGTAAATGGAATTGATTCCCCTGAAAGGTTCGAAAAATAAAATCTTCAGCCTACAGAGAAGAATCACGTAAGGTGTTTTTCCTCTGCCTGTTACACATGTGCTGACATTTGCTATGAATCCGTGATGCTGTTTACTTCCTCCTGGGTGCCGCGTGCCATCTCATTCGGCTGCCACACGGCACTGGCATTCTCGGGGGCACGCCATGGGGCTACAAAGGCTTGCCGCACCTGTAATTTAGCTACTTCTCAGTTGTGCTTGTTTTTCCTTTAAAAATAAAACTATTAAACAGTGCGTGCACACTAGCTGTTAGCACATGTAACTGGGGGTGACGGAATGGACAGCATGCTGGCCCAGCCTCGCCTCTGCCTGCAGTGTGACCACGGCTTACACAAGCATTTCTGGGCCTCCAATTGCTCATCCTCAATATCCCGCTGCCCTAAAGGGATCCGCATGTGTAAAGTACAAACGGGTCCCTTGTAAAATTGTAAAAAGGCTTATTTTAAAATGATGATTTAGAGCAAGATTTTAAAACAAAATTGCCAGGGAACGTGCCCATTTCCAGTGGTTATCAGCCAGTGTTCCATCTGGATTTTCATCTCAGGGCTCAGGAAAATACCTCTTTCTTTCTAGCTTGTTCTCAGCCTTCTTTGGAGTGGGCCTCCTAAGCTTGGGTAAAAGCTGCAGAACCTTTAAAGCTACATGGGAGAGACAGAGCACAGGCAGAACGCCAGCAGCCATTCTGCCATGAGAAGCTTCAGCTGCTCTTCCGACTGCCCAGGACTTTTCCTGGTGTGTGGGGTGCTTGGCACCTCCACAGCCTGGCCCTCTCGAAGACGTGTGCCCCTTAGTCCCACGGGCCACTTCCTGAGAAGGGTCAGGTGGGCGGGACCCTGCCGGCCTCAGCGCGGGAGCTTTAAAGCTTGTGTTTCTGATCTCTATTGAACAAACATTAGCAACCACCTCAAACCTAGTCAAATAGCCCTACTTTTAGTTCACCTTGTTAAATCACCTGGAGAGTTTTTTTTTAATTAAGCTATATCAAAAACAGACTGAAATTTGAATAGAAAATAACATTTTTAAAATCTATCACCAAGTGAAGGGGCCTGGTAAAGATAGTTTCTCAAAGTTGGGAATGAATCAAGTCCCTTTAATGGAAGGATCTTTACTGACCCAAAGGAATACTGAAAAGTACAACTTAAGAACTAAAGAAAATATCTTTCAAATTATACATTTCTATTTCCAAAGGTGTGTGTGTATGTGTTTTAGAGATTATCATCTAATCAAAAAGACAATTTGTTCATAAAGAACTCACAGACCCCTGAGTTTAAGAAAGAGCTCCAGACCTAGATTCTGAAAACCCTGAAGCTCTGGGGTGCCCCCTCACCTTTTGAGCCATACTTAAAGATTTATTTTAGAGAAAGAGTGCCGGGGTGGGGCGGTGGGGGGAGTGAGAGGGAGAACAAGTTTTAAGCAGGCTCTGTGCCAAGCACAGAGCCCGATGTGGGGCTCAATCTCACGACTCTGAGATCACAACCTGAACCAAAAACAAGAGTCAGTCACTTAACCGACTGAACCACAGGTGCCCCTATGATTCCCCTTTTGATGCGAGATAAATAACCAGCTCCAGGGCAAGTGCGAGGATCAGATGTGGTCACACTGGAGAGTCAATGCATAAACTGTGACATTCTCTTATATATAAACAGTTCTCTAGTGAAGTGGCTTCTCGACAGAAGTGTGACCTTGGGCACATAAACTTACTCTGCTCAACAGAAGTATGACCTTGGGCACGTAAACTTACTCTGCTTTTCAGCAAGTTCCCAGTGATGACAGTAATTCCCTCCTGCAATACCCGTGTGGATTAAATGAGCTCATGTATGTAAGGCTCTTAGTACAGGGTCTGTTCAACATAACACACTGAAAGTACTAGCTGTTATACATCTAACAAATTTGGCCCATTTTAAAAAGGGAGTTTCGTATCTGTTAGCAATAGAGCGTGGCTTTTTGCTAGAATCCCTAAATTTTGCTAGAAGCCAGTCAGAAAAATAATACCTCTTGTGCTCTGAGGCCTTTTCTCCCATCCTCTAGTTGATCCTTCTGTCTCATCCATCTAAGTCTAGGGTTGCAAATTGTCAGATCCATGCTTTGAGGGACAAGAGACTGAGACCTGGAACAACAACAAGCATTTTAAAATATTACTGTAGGGGCGCCTGGGTGGCTCAGTCTGCAAAGGATCCATTCTGTCCATCTGAGGCTAAGCGTCTGCCTTTGGCTCAGGTTGTGATCCCAGGATCCTGGGATCGATGCAGGGTCCTGGGATCGCGCCACACATCGGGATTCCTGCTCAGCGGGAAGTCTGCTTCTCCTCCCTCTGCCCCTCTCCCCTGCTCATGCTCTCTCTCTCACGCTCTTTCTCTCTCAGATAAGTAAATAAGATATTTTTAAAAATAAAATAAAAATCACTGTAATTCTGAGGGCTTCCCAGAACATTGTCCAATATCAACATGGACTGCCAGTGTCCCCTTTGTGTGCTGGTGGCTGTGTCCACTCAGGGAGTCCCTCCGAGGGAGTTCAGCAGCCTTTCAGCGTGGGGAGCAGGGTGGTGCCACATTTCTGTAGATTAGAATTACGTATGCCAGCAATACATTTCTGTTTCATTCTGGGCAGGCAGTTTCAAAAACTAAGTTTACAGACTCTTCAAAGAAACTGATTTTAACATCAACAGTCAAATTCGTGCCTGTTAGGAGTAACAAACTGGCTGCTTTTTTAGGTCCGAATGCGCAGCATTATTGTACTTCTGTCCCTTCCCAAGCCTAGAATACCCTTCTCGTCCACCTGGAAAACTCCTCCTTCAAGGGAAGGAACTAGCATCTCCTGAGTCCCAAGGCTCTGGGTTCCGTCTCAGGCCCTTCCCATGCTTGACTAGGCAGTCCTCGCCCAAGGGCGAGTGCCAGACTCCCCCACGTGACAAAGGAGGACACCAGCTGTTGTCTTCACCTCTGGGCCTCAAGTCACAGGCCAGGCCGCCACACTGCCCAGCTCCAGTTGGTACCAGTCCCGAAGCGTCTGGGTCGCATGCACTGGAATATGAAAGTGCCCAAGTGGCCCAGCATGGCAGCCCAGGTTTGCTGCTTAACGGATTTAGGATCCAAACACAAGGCAGTGACTCAGCCTTTCTCACCCCCTTCTACCTCCCGGTTCCTGTTGTAAGGGGGAAAAATGTTCAGTCCGCTTCTGTTTAAAGCTGTTCAGCCAGCAGGTATTGAGCAACGAGTCTGTGCTTTCATATTGTTTCATCCTCACAACAAACAACCTGTGAGGAAAATCCTGCCATCATCCCAGTTGTTAAAACTACACATAGTAGAAGTGAATGAGGTCATCAAGAAAGAATGCAAAGAGTCTGCTTTTTTTAAATTTAAATGAATATAGCTTGTGGTTCTAAAATTATATATGCTCCCTGTAACTAATGGAAACAGAAAAGCCCAAAGTCCCCTGAGATCCCACCCTCAGAGACAACCATGGTAAACACTGTGACAAGCATCCTTCATCCATCTCCCGCACACTTATGATCAGTTCCACATAAAATGTTCACACTGGGCATGTCGCTTTGGTAACTTGACGAAATGTAAGCATCTTCCCGTGCCTCTACACATAGATCCATTTAATCCTTTTTAATGACTACCTGTAATTAATATATCTATAACTAATACTCTGTTGTCAGCAGACGCCACGGTTTGTTTAAGCAGGTCTTTCATATCTTATATTCTCTTACATTCTCATTGTCACAATAGCTAGAATCCTGAATTAAGCATGGGGGCTGCACACATAAGTGGATTCAACACTAAGATTTGCTTCTTTATGCCTTTTCTCCACAAGCATTCATTCATCGACAGCAGGCTTCTTCTCTGTCTACCCCCAGGTCCTTCAGTCTCTCATTCACAACCCACCTTGCAGGAGCGGCTCAAGAAATGAACCTGTCCACACTCGCCCTTTTTCATTCAGAAAGCAGCAACACACTCGGTCGTGAACAAGTCCCGTGATGAGAAATGTCAAGCTGCGGGTTCACAGAAAGGCACTGGAGCGTGGCCATCCTCTCATGGAGATTAGAGGTGACCGTTCCTTATCTTTCCTCCCCTGATGGAAGTTACTGCTTTGAGTCAGAGTCCTTTGCCAGCTAAAGCCCTGCAGTGAAGGTTATGCTCTTGTCTCAGGGCTGATCTTATCTGTGAGGTTAGAGCTAGGAGAGCAGGAAGATGACAGTTCCTGCTGTCCCAAGCAAGACAGGTGGAGAAGGGCTCAGCCCCTGAACCTCTAGGAAAAGCCACCCTGGCTTTTAGCTGCCTGGGTTCAAGGCTTGTTTCCACCTGTTGTCAAGCTTTCCAAGAACCAGGGTCTCAGACCTCTACGTATTTGGAGTGCTGGGGCAGCCTGCAAAGGATCCATTCTGTCCATCTGAGGAAAAGGAAAGGAAGGCTGGGAAAGTGGGGGGAGGGCAGAGAAAGGGAAGTAGTACCTATTGAACTGATACTCCTGGTATTGCCCCTCCCAGCAACCTTCTGAAGACTGATGGCCTCCATTTTACAAACTAGAAACCAAGGTCCCAAACAGTGAAGGAAGTTAACCAAGGCCACAAAACTAGGGAGTGAAGAGCTGAACATCAAGGCAACAGATTGGCATTCACAAACTTGCAGAGATCTAAGGACTCTAAAATCTATGAGCACTGGTAGCTCTAGAAGTTCTAAAAGAAAGGTTTTTCAGGGACACCTGGCTGGCTCAGTCGGTTAAGTGTGCAACTCCAATTTCGCCTCAGGTCATGATCTCAGGTCTGTGAGATTGAGCCCCACGTCAGGCTCCATGCTTGGCAGGGAGTCTGCTTGAGATTCTCTCTCTCTCTTTGCCCCTCCCACTCGTGCTCATGCTCTTTCTCTAAAATAAATAAATCTTTTTAAAAAATAAAACAAAGGGCTTCAGGCTGGCAATTGGGTTAGAAAATGATTTTAAGGGGCGCCTGGGTGGCTCAGTCGTTAAACGTCTGCCTTCGGCTCAGGTCATGATCTCAGGGTCCTAAGATCGAGCCCCGCATCGGGCTCCCTGCTCGGCAGGAAGCCTACTTCTCCCTCTCCCACTCCCCCTACTTGTGTTCCCTCTCTCGCTGTATCTCTGTCTGTCAAATAGATAAATAAAATCATTTAAAAAAAAAGAAAGAAAATTATTTTAAGATTTATTTATTTTTGAGAGAGAGTGTGTGCACAAGTGGGGGGAGGGGCAGAAGGAGAAGCAGGCTCCCCGCTGAG